CTCCCTCTCTGACCGACAAGGCCGGCGTGTGAGTGCTCCCTCTCTGACTGACAAGGCCTGCCCATGACACATGAGTGGACCTCTGCGTGCTCTGGCCTCCTCAGGGAAGACACGCTGTTCGAGCAGTGCTCCATCTGATCCCTGACACAGCCATCACCTATGGCACAGTCCTCCCCCAGCACAGACCCGTCAGGGCTCTCTCCAGCACTGCTTAGATCCACAGAGCGCTCACGGCCTCAGCCCGCCCACCCTACCACTGCAGCCTGCATGAGGCTGCCACCCGGGCAGCCCCTGCACGGACCATCGCACTCTGGCATGGTTGGAGCTGGGGGTACGCATCTTCCTGCCAGGCCAAGCACCCACCAGGGAAGTGAGGGGACTCAGCCCGCAGGGTTTCTGGGGCACTTGCCGCACAGTGTTGCCACGCTGCAGACTGAGGCAGTGGGAGCAGCTGCCCCGTTGAGAGCACAGCCGGGAGCCCCAGGGCTAACCCCAAGTGACAGGGGGCCCCCGTGCCTTGGTCCCCGCGGGCATTCCAGACCAGTGGGTCCCTTGCTGTGACACGGCAGGAGGAAGCCGGCCATACTTACAGCTGCGCCTGCTTCTCTGCCAGCTCTTTGGTTTTCTCCTACAATTACAAAGAGAAAGGAAGTCAGACCATTGGGGGTCACCGGGGTACCCCGAACCCCACATCCCCAGGGCATCCTGTGCCCCTCCTGTGTCGTGGCAGGAAGAGCACTCCCCCCACCACTCGCCTGGGTCTCCCAGTGGGTGCAGGGGCCCAGCACTCGGGCCCGTCCACTCTTCCTCAGGGGCATTAACTGGGAGCTGGGCAGAGCAGCCAGAACTGCAGGCGGTGGTGTAACCCCCTACACCACAACACCAGCCCCATACTTTTTTCTTTTCTAGTGCAAAAAACCCCTCTGTGGTCCTTGCACAGTTTAAAACCCGTTTTCCAGGCACATTTACAAGATTTCCACATACACAGCCTTCACAATTCTGCTCATGTTCCCGAAGCCCTCACGCCGTGTCACACACGTGTGTCAGCACCCGGACACAGCTGCACGGTGACACGTGCACGCATGCTCCCCGGCACCCTGGGAGCTCCTGCAGCAGGAATGACTGCTAGCTGATCCTGGGCTCCTGTGAGGCACGGCCAGCTGCGCTGTGCACATCTGCTGCTCAGCGAGTGGCGGGCAGGGGCGTGAAGCACAGGCCAGCACAGGGCTCCAGCCAGGCGAGGAGGCCGTGGGAGGCGCGTGGCGAGCAGGGGAGCCTGGACTGAGATGCCCACACTGGACTGGAGGTCACAGTGGAGGCACGAGCCTCGGCTTCCGGGGCGCTGTGGGGAGCTGTGGGCGGTGCAGCCTCAGCTGGACCCTGGCTGGATGGGGGACATCGGCCACGGGACCCCGGGCCAGGGCCCCAGACCCTGCCGCCCCTGCTGCCTCGGCTGTGACGTGCGATACAGTGGCACGAGGCTCGGCCGGCATGAGGACGAGGTCACGCAGCTCTGGCTGAGGAGCATGGCCCAGCAGAGCGACTCTGCAACTCTACACTCCTGTGACTGTCCCCACAGCAGAGGGGCCGCACCTAGTCACCAGGCACAGAAGGGCGAGGCCACGCTGTGTGCGGGAAGCCAAGGACACAAGGACAGGACAGCTTGTGGCTTCAGCTTGTAACACACAGTCAAGGTCCTAGGCCAGTGACCCAGGCCTGGCTGGGCCTCAGGGAGAAGCATGCCTGCGTCTCGGGCAGCACCTGCCGGCCCGGGAGGTGTCAGGGCCCTCCCTCAGGACAGTGCCCTGACTGACCCAGACTGTTGCACGGATTGCTCTGGCGATTCTCAGCAGGAGCTGCCCGAACGTGCCAGGTTCCAAGCGCGTGGCTGAGTGCTGGATGCAGAGGCAGAGGAGGAAGGCGGGGGTCAGCTTGTGGTCGTCACCCCCGGGCTCGACGAGCGTCAGGATCCTTTGCAGCAGGGGGCCCTCCTCCTCGCGCTCAAACTCCAGGTGCAGCCGCTGTCGGCGTGGCAGTGCATCAGGCGGCGAGGAGGTGGTGCCCGGGGCCTGCAGCGTGGCACCGCACACCCGGCAGCTCTGTGGCACGGCCCGCAGGCGCGCCAGGGCCCGAGTGGGCAGCGGCTGGGCCTGCGCGGGGTCCTTAAACAGCAGCAGGTAGTAGAGGCCCAGGGAAAGCAGGTCTCCGTGCTGCAGGACCACCGTCCGCCGCCCCACCTCGGAGAAGTTGACGGAGACGGGCGCCCCAGGAATGGGCTCCAGCAGCAGCTGGGGGGCTGCCCCGCCTGGGGGCAGGTGCCGGCGGATGGTGCAGTGCAGGGGCAGGATGTCGGGCGCTGAGAGGCTGATGCTGGGCTTGCTGGAGGGCGTCCGCTGGCCCACCGTGTGCCGCTCGCGCCTCAGCACATACACCAGGCTGTCCTGAAACACACATGTGCATGGCGCTTAGGGCCGGGCACCCCCGGCACTTCCAGCAGAAGCAGGGAAATAGCACGGGGCCCTCTCTGTGTCTTCCAGCCACGTGGCAGGGACTGCAGGCTCTGGGTGCTGCTCTGTCCCACACCCACCCTCCTGTGTGTCTAGGGGGCAGTTCACCCCAAATGCCCTGGTGTGTTGAGGAGGAGGCAAGGCAGGCCTTGTCCCTTGCCGCCCAGCTTCGGGAGGGAGGACATCTGGGAGAGGGCTACCAGGAGCCCCAACGATGTCACCAAGTCTCCTGGTCGTGCAGCAGGAAGGCGCTGGGCAGGGAGGACAACGGCTGGAGTGGGCCTGAGCAGGCCCTGCAGCGGCTCAGCACCCCGCACCACCGCTGGGACGAGAGAATGGATGGGCCCACCGCGCGTCCCTGCCCTGGCCTGTGCCCTTCCCCGAGCCAGGCCAGCAGCAGACCCGCAGAAGATCAAGGAGTGGAGCGGGTTCCCCAGAGGGTCCGGGTGCCAGGAAAAGGCCCCTTGAGGCGCCATCTGCCTCGGGCAGCAGGACAGGCCAGCCTGGCGTTCCCTACCCACCCCGTGCTACAGCCCCATGTGCCTGCAGTGGCCTGGGCTGAGGGGCAGAAGGGGCCCTGCCTTCTCGGGGTCAGGGAGGGCAGGCTCACGTGCTGCTGGCTGTAGCCCTGCAGGAGGAGCAGGTGCGGGCTCTGGAAGAGGGAGCAGCGCATGGCGTCCTGGTCGGGCTCCTCAGTGCCCCGGGACACGTCAGGCAGGGTGGCGGCTGGGCTCAGGCTGGTCTCACTGACTGTGCGGCGCAGTCGGGGCTGGGGGGAGCTCCGGGGAGCCACGGGGGTCAGGGCTGGGGTTCCTTTCGCACGGATCCGCTGCAGCCTCCGGGCCTGCGCATTTATCCCTGAGACACAAGCAGCACAGTGTCAAGTCTCCCAGGAGCTCGCACACTTGAACCCTGCTCAGCCACTTCCCCGACCCGTCACTGCCCTGGCAAGGCAGGGCTGCAGGAAGCCCAACTAGGTCCAGTGAGCACAGCCCTGAAAAGGCTGGGCAGCACCCTGGCACCACCATGGAGCAAGTAGTTGAGCTGTCCACTCCCTGAGGCCCAGAGGGGACTACATCACCTCCAGGAGCCAGGTGACACCCCTCTGCCCGCCCAAGCATCAGCACCACAGCCCTCAGGTAGCAGACCCATCGGGCTTTTCCCGCCATAGCCCTGGCCTCTGCCCCAGCCAGCTCACCACTGCAAGAAGTGAGGAAGCAAGCAGGAACCCCACAAGCCCAAATAAGCAGTCAGCTTGCCATTGCTCCCCAGCCCCACAGCCACCAGAGCTCAGCCCTGCCACAGCACACCTGCTACTGCCTTAGACTCCCTCCGCTGGCAGGCACGTGCACACAGGCACACACACCTGCACGGAACGACACACACCCAGACACACGTGCAATGTGCACGAGGCACACATGCACACAAACGCAACCGCCTGCGAGAACACCCGCCCACACCAGACTTCCCAAGTTCGCAAACACGGGAGGTGCTCTCTGAACGAAGGCTGCTGGGAAAGCTGCGGGCACCCAGGAGCCCGGCTCCTCGCTCCACGGCCAGCCCCGAGTTTCCTCCCCTGAGCCCTCCGCTGTCTCCGCCACACAGCCTTGTCCCATCTAGGGTCTTTTCCCTCAGCCATTCCGAGAGAAAGCCGAGCGGAGGCCAGTGAGGGAGCGGCGAGGGCGCGCCTTACCGGAGCAGCCGCGAGCCCTGCCCCCGCAGGAAGGAGGCCGCAGCGCATCTGCAGCCCGCAGGGGGCCCGGGCCGCGCAGGGAGGGAGGGGGCCGGGCGGCGCAGGGAGGGCCCGGGCAGCTCCCGCAGCACTCCTGCTCGCTGCAGCGCCCAGCTCAGCCCGGCCAGGGAGCCCACCCACCACTCCCCCAAGAACAGCAGGGGCTCCGTTTGGCCTCACTGCAAAACCGTGGGGCCAAAGCTGCAGGAAGAAAAACACACACAGCCCCAAATGACATCCGTCTCCACGCTATTCCCAAACCTAGGGCTAGGTTTCAGGAGAGGATGAGCCCACCGTGTCCTTCCAGCAGGCCTGGGGCTGCAGGCACAGCAAGCCAGAGTCCTCTCGGGTTCCTAGGGGGCCCTGGCAATGGCCAGCAGCACAGGATGGCCCAGGCCAGGGTTCCCTGGGGCCACAGCCCCTGCCCTGCACCCCTCCAGGAGGGGTCCCACACACCTCGCAGACACCCCACCCCCAGGGCTCTGGGGCCCCAGGCTGATCCACCAGCAGGTCAGAACCAGAACTGCAACCCTGGGGTCTACTCCCAGCATGTCCTCCTTTGGCTCCTGGTTGCCTCCAAAGGCTACAATACAACCTGTGGCCAGGAGCTGGCAACAGCTGGCACTGTAGCCAAGACCACACACACAGACCAGAGCAGGTGGGGCAGCAGTGTCCACTACCAACACACAGAAGCATGCAGTACGATCAGACCACCCTTGGCACACACATGGATACACACTCACTGGCACAGACACTACCACAGGTGCACCCACACAGGCCTGCACACACTTGGGCACGACCATCTGCTGACTCTGTACCAGGATGGTCATGGCAGTCCAGCAGGCATCAGCAAAGATGGCTCAAGTTGGGGAGAATCAACATGGCAGAACAGAGTAAGGACACATTGAAATGGACAGAAAAACATTTAATCAGGATGAAGCAGAGAGGACACATTCCAGGAAATAGGAGAGGACAGAACAACAGCAGAGGGGCACCTGGAGACTGACAGACACAGGAAAGCAGCGGGCACAGCAGTGTGGTGTTGCAGTGACTGATATTCCAGCAGCATTCAGCTAATGGCGATCTGAACTCCACCAGCAACCAGGTGGGAAGGGACTTTCACTGGGAGCTTGGGAGGTGAACCCAGACAAGAACTGTCCATCCTGCTGGACCGTTTGATTTGATCAGGAGCAGAGACAGAGCAGCACGTCCCAGACGGGCAGTGCTGGAACAGCGTGGATTTCACAGCCTAGTTTGCATATACTGAGCTGGGAGTGAACTCATTTCTAACTCAGTGAACTGCAGCAATGCAGCATCCTACAGGTTCCACCCACGACAGGTCTGGGTAGCCCTCAGACCTGACAGCCAGCAGATCAAGAATTCCAGTGGTGGTACATCAGGTGCCATTTTGTACAATGTGGCAAAAGTTTAGGGCTGCAGGGACAACAGTGAACTGTGCATGTGCTGAGCTCATGAGAACTCACTAAGTTCAGTGAACTGCACTAGTCCTGCAGGAAAATAATACCGACTGTGGCATCGTATGGGTCAAAATAGGTCCGTGTGGCACCCAGACCTAATGTCCAACTGGTTCCAGCAAGATCAGCGCCACCAACAACCTAGCTATGTAGGACACCTGGTGTCTTCCAATCCTGGGATTTGCTCCAAGCAGAAGTGGGTGAAAGGTTGTACAGACAATGGTGCAGCCTCAGCACGGTATCACAGGAGGTGGAGACTGGTGAGCCAGCAGCTGGGGCTATGGAGTTTTTGGTGGAAATCTAACATAAGAACCCAGACCTGGAACCTGCTGGAGGGAGAGGCACAATTGGCTGCAAGCAAAGACTTGTGTACCAACTGCAATAAGTAAACTGAACTGTAGACCTGTGGGAGACACAGCTTAGAAACCTGCCCCAAGGAGAAGACTCTGCTAACCAGAAGTACAATGACCAAGAGCAAAAAAAAGAGACAAAGGCACAATGAATATTACTGAAAACTCCCCTGCAAAGGAGCAAAACCCTATGCCAACCTCAGAGTTAACTGAGGAAGACATCGAGAAAATGGGATACAGAATTCAGAAAACTCATTATAAAGCTTCTGATCAACAATGAGAAGCACAAACAAGAGTTCAAAAAAATTAAGGAATAGTTTACACAAGAAATAGCAGCAATAAAGCAAATCAAGGCTGATATATCAGAAATTAAGAACACAGTAGAGCAAATTACAAGTACAGTGGAGAGTCTCCAAAATAGAATGAAGTAAGCAAAAGAAAGAATCTCAGAATTGGAAGATATCTCCTGTCACCAGGGGGAAGCAAACAAAAAGCTGGAAGCAGAGCTGGATCAGGCCAAAAAATGTATTCAAGAATTGAAAGACACGAGTAAGAGGCCTAATATAAGAGTTATGCCTGGATTCCGGACGGCCGCCATGGGCACATGGTGAGCCGTCCTCCCCGGGCCTGCTGGGTTTCGGGGGCCGCTTCCTTCGGGGTGAGTAGACCGAGGGGGGAGGCCTCCGGGACTGGGCAGGTCCGGCACCCAGCCACCGCCCTCATTGGGCGGTGAAGGGGATTTGGGAGGGGCGCGACCTTGGGCCTGGGAATTTTAAACCTCCAGCTGCCTCCTGGCAGCTGGTGGGTCTCAGGACGGGGCGTCTCATGCCTGGATTCCGGACGGCCGCCATGGGCACATGGTGAGCCGTCCTCCCCGGGCCTGCTGGGTTTCGGGGGCCGCTTCCTTCGGGGTGAGTAGACCGAGGGGGGAGGCCTCCGGGACTGGGCAGGTCCGGCACCCAGCCACCGCCCTCATTGGGCGGTGAAGGGGATTTGGGAGGGGCGCGACCTTGGGCCTGGGAATTTTAAACCTCCAGCTGCCTCCTGGCAGCTGGTGGGTCTCAGGACGGGGCGTCTCATGCCTGGATTCCGGACGGCCGCCATGGGCACATGGTGAGCCGTCCTCCCCGGGCCTGCTGGGTTTCGGGGGCCGCTTCCTTCGGGGTGAGTAGACCGAGGGGGGAGGCCTCCGGGACTGGGCAGGTCCGGCACCCAGCCACCGCCCTCATTGGGCGGTGAAGGGGATTTGGGAGGGGCGCGACCTTGGGCCTGGGAATTTTAAACCTCCAGCTGCCTCCTGGCAGCTGGTGGGTCTCAGGACGGGGCGTCTCATGCCTGGATTCCGGACGGCCGCCATGGGCACATGGTGAGCCGTCCTCCCCGGGCCTGCTGGGTTTCGGGGGCCGCTTCCTTCGGGGTGAGTAGACCGAGGGGGGAGGCCTCCGGGACTGGGCAGGTCCGGCACCCAGCCACCGCCCTCATTGGGCGGTGAAGGGGATTTGGGAGGGGCGCGACCTTGGGCCTGGGAATTTTAAACCTCCAGCTGCCTCCTGGCAGCTGGTGGGTCTCAGGACGGGGCGTCTCATGCCTGGATTCCGGACGGCCGCCATGGGCACATGGTGAGCCGTCCTCCCCGGGCCTGCTGGGTTTCGGGGGCCGCTTCCTTCGGGGTGAGTAGACCGAGGGGGGGAGGCCTCCGGGACTGGGCAGGTCCGGCACCCAGCCACCGCCCTCATTGGGCGGTGAAGGGGATTTGGGAGGGGCGCGACCTTGGGCCTGGGAATTTTAAACCTCCAGCTGCCTCCTGGCAGCTGGTGGGTCTCAGGACGGGGCGTCTCATGCCTGGATTCCGGACGGCCGCCATGGGCACATGGTGAGCCGTCCTCCCCGGGCCTGCTGGGTTTCGGGGGCCGCTTCCTTCGGGGTGAGTAGACCGAGGGGGGGAGGCCTCCGGGACTGGGCAGGTCCGGCACCCAGCCACCGCCCTCATTGGGCGGTGAAGGGGATTTGGGAGGGGCGCGACCTTGGGCCTGGGAATTTTAAACCTCCAGCTGCCTCCTGGCAGCTGGTGGGTCTCAGGACGGGGCGTCTCATGCCTGGATTCCGGACGGCCGCCATGGGCACATGGTGAGCCGTCCTCCCCGGGCCTGCTGGGTTTCGGGGGCCGCTTCCTTCGGGGTGAGTAGACCGAGGGGGGGAGGCCTCCGGGACTGGGCAGGTCCGGCACCCAGCCACCGCCCTCATTGGGCGGTGAAGGGGATTTGGGAGGGGCGCGACCTTGGGCCTGGGAATTTTAAACCTCCAGCTGCCTCCTGGCAGCTGGTGGGTCTCAGGACGGGGCGTCTCATGCCTGGATTCCGGACGGCCGCCATGGGCACATGGTGAGCCGTCCTCCCCGGGCCTGCTGGGTTTCGGGGGCCGCTTCCTTC